TCCCCAGCCCCTGCTTCTCGGCTTCCACTGGAAGTTGAAGCTATTGAAGCACTTTGGTACATCCCCTACCTGTAACCTCCGGCAATAGGGTCTGGGTTTTGTGTGGGTTTTTTGCCCCCCTGTTCTCGGCGATGTTAGCGAATATTTAACCTCGGATGACGTAACACAAGGAAAAGGGGTTGTTTCGTTCAGATTTGGGCAGCCCGAGGCTCTCTCATTGTTTCCTTTAGTTGAGACCGCGAGGGGCTGGGACATCCTTTCCCCTGCAGACAATAGCACCCATCTCCCCAGTCTTGCTCGTGGTAACTTCCCAAGATCTCTGCTCCCCGGACCATTATGGCTAGAACAGCACTCCAGTCCTACCAACAACCACGTATTTCCCCATTTGCCTTCATGAACGGGTTATTTATCGATCAGGTAATATAATAACTTTGCAGCCTGAGTCCTTTCGCACCAGCTAGAAATAATGTGCAAATCGTTATTATTATTATTAGGTTTTCCCTGGATGTATCTCTTTATCAACTGGCTCAGATACTAGAGGGCTGGAAGATTGTGCCTTGCGTTATGGTCATAAATGATCTGAATAATATTCAAAATATTTGATGAGATATTGATCTCTGTGCTTAAGAAAACCTAGCTCTGGCCACTATTGTTTTATTAATTGCTTTGCAATAAGCCTTTCTTTCTTGTCTCTCACTTTTCCAGAAGTTTTTGATCTGTCAACCTTAAGAATCAGTGTTTATCCCACACGGTTTGCAAAGAATGCCCCTTCCTTTCTCCCTCTCCCCCTCTCACTCAAACGCGTATACCATATCTTTCCCAAAGAGGAAGCTATTAAGGTAGTAAATATAAGTCAACATCACCTTAGTTCATAATTTATTGCAGGCTGTGAGAGAGAGTTATTTAAGATCAAAGAAATATAGTAGGGGAGACCCTTTGGAGTTGCAAGGCGAGGAGACCAGCAGCAGCGCCAGGCGATGCTGGAAGACAATGCACAAACCTGTAGATCTGAACACGCGGGCTCAGTAGGAGAGCAAGTAATTCTGGTGACCGCTCACCCCTGCCGACGCATAGCCGATTAAAACAGGTACCAGTAAGAGATACTGCCTTTATTCCGACGGATTATACACATGCGTATACATGTATACGTGTATACTTACATATGTATCTATACACACACGCACACACCTGTGTATATATATTTCAAAGGGAGCGAAATCATAACCTCGTTAGAAATACATGGCCGTAGTTTGGGAAAGGAATTAACGTTTGCACAGAAAAACCGCATTACATTGGTTCCGTTATTTTAACAAATCTCATCGGGGAAACACAGGCAGAACAAATTCACTCCCCAAACAAATCACTGCTATAGAGGCCTTCAGGACTGCAAAAGACTATAGCGGGAGCCGAGGCAGATCTACTGCTGCAGAAAGAAAGGAGCTTCCCCCCCCACCTTTTCTTTTCCAGCCAGGACAAAAGGAAAGGAGTGCTTGTTGCTTTTCTGTGAAATAGGCCAAAGTTGGAAAGAATGACGTCTCCTTTGAAGTTTATTTGTTGGGGGGAGGGGAGACGGGTGTAAAACCACATTTCAACACTCGATTGCCACCGACCAAATCAGAAGCTATTTCAGAAAAGCAAAGCCATAAATCAGAAGCGATGTTCAGGTTGGGTTGTTGTTCTCCCACCCCACAAGATAGCTGTAAAGGGGAAAGGGTGGGGGGAAGGATTCTCACTCCATAATATTTCATCTTTATTTTTTTTAAGTTAAGTTCAAACAAAAATCTGCCTGCGTGCTATGGGCAAAGGCACTGCGAGGTCAGAGAGAACACTAAGTGCTTAGGGGCAGGTTTCTCCAGATTTCCACCATGGCATCTTTGGGGGTGTCCAGCGTCCCCCTTTAAGCCCCGAAGGAGGTGATGGAAGGTGAAATAGCCCGAGGTCTGTTATTTGGTGAAAATCAACCCGGCTTCTTTGCCCTCCTCCATCCCCGCAACACGTCCATCCATCCCCGCAACACGTCCACTTTCAGTGCTACCCAAAAGCAGCCGCACCGCCTATGGCAGTCAATGGCAATCTCCCCCAAAACAATTCTCCCATTCACCCCGCATTCAGGAGAGTTTCCCCTGTTTTTCCTGCCGACCCACGTTCTGGCAAACTTCACCCCTTTCCTCATCCCCATACATATGCCCCGTTTGCAACTTCAGGGCAACTCCATTCACTGGATGCTAAGTGCAGCCTTGTGTCTGGGGCTGCTGCAACTTTTCCACCTCTTACCTCTGTGATTAGACACAAAAGTCAGCCATGTTAATTGCAATATACATATATTTTATAGGATCACGTCTACACACCCCACAAAAAAAAGAAAAGAAAAGAAAAGGAAAAATGGCAGAAAGAAAGGAATCCGCTAGGTTTTGCTTAACTTTGATTTTTTTTTTTTTTTTTGGACGAGACATATGGAATCAATTTTGAATCCTGACATTGAAGACTGGCCAGTTCCTAGTGGCCTTTAAAAACCAGAATCCATTTGGTTCCTCTCTCTCTCCACCACCGCTTGTCACTCAGTATTAGACCCGTCTTGCAACATTTTAAGTCTTTATAAAGAGAAACAGCTTTCCATATAGATACCAGGGATCTGGGACCGGGGGGGTATTTTTTTTTTTCAAAGGGGAAATCAAGTACGAATTATTTCCCCCCACCCCGCTCCCCAGTATCTCTGCGCTTTCTGGAAAGGGGGCTGTATTCTTGCAACACTTAAAGCTGTTTGGGAAGAAGGGTCTCTATTTTTCTTCACGTCAAGACAGTTCCGTTGGAATCCAGTGAGTCCAAAAATCAAAGCATCTTTGGGGGGGGGCGCAAAAAAGTCCTTCCGACAAAGCTGTCATCAAGATCCACCGAGGTACAATAAAGTAGTTTCTTTTCTTCTCCTTAATTTCCTCGCTTTGGTTCAGCTCTTGCAGCGTCCGATCCGCCTCCGCTCCTTTCTTCCTGAAGTCCTTGGGAACTAAACCAGGTAAGAGGTAAAAAAAAAAAAAAAAACAAAAAAAAAAAAAAAAACAAAAAAAAAAAAAAAAATAATGCAACTTTGCCTTTCCCTACTCTAGGAATTCCAGCGCTGCAAGATATAATTAATTGCCCCCATCGCTTTTGACAGGCTCGGGACTTCTCCATTGGTCAGCAGGAACTGGAGCTGACTTTCCCTAGTAACAAATTAAGACTGATGTCTCGGAAAACTTAGCCAGGGAAGTGGAAGATGAGCAAAAATTATCTCGCTCGGTTCCTACCCAGACGGAATCCGGGAGTTCCCTTTCAAGTCCGTGTGGAGTTCAGCGACTTTTCGCTGAGCCACATTTGTTAAAGGTTTAGCACCTCTTGCCTGCTTGAAGCAGAAACTCCAAAGGCTGCCTTGGAAAAGCAGGGTGCTAAACTGGAGAATGTATGTGATTGTGATTTATGGCCCCGAGAAGCTGTGTTTACTTGAAGCAGATCCTAATTACAAGCCTTTTCCGAGGAGCCCCCGCTCCTAAAAAATTCCCAAGCCCTGTATGTCTGTAGTGGATCCCCTCCCTCCCTCCCCAGCACGGCTTGTATTGGCCAGATGTGACTCGCACACATCTGGCTATTTACTCGGTGCTTTCGCTGGCTAATTTATTGTGCTGGGATGGGTAAGAATGAGATTCTTTAACATTTTGCCTAATGTTCAGGGTTTATTCAGAATTCCGCTTCTTAGCATCCTTTCAGACAAGGACCACGGGTTCAGATGACTCTGGGGGTCTTAAAGAGGGTGCAGCCAGGCTTATGCATTTGTTTAAATGTCATTTCTGAAATTACCTTTACTTTAAAGGGGGGTGGGAGGGGGGATTACTTTTGTTGGGGTTCCTAGTGGAGAGGGGACCTGCATTTGGGGGCTAGGGAGTAAAAAGCTTTAGTGCCTCTTTTATTCAGCAGAGTTTAAGAGCATAAAGTTGATACAGGAGGCGAGAAAGCCTGATATAATTACACCTGAAAGTGATTTAAAAGAATAGATGTGCACCCTGTTCAGTGTGCCCGCTTTTTGTTTGTATCTTTGTTTAGTTGGATAATAACTTAGCTCCTGGGACAATTTGCCCCCTACATTGTATAAAAAATAGAGAGAGAGATATAAGGGAAAACTTTGGAGTCAGTGTCTAATATTTCCCGAGGCATACTCGTAGATATTGGCAGCGGACGGGAGCTGTGCTCCACCAGCTTCTGGTTTTTTTGCTGAAAATTGCTTTGCATTAAATTTCCTCGGCTTTAGAATTATCTTTACTCGCCTCCAGCTAAACTTGAATTTTTTTACCCAGCGCTTGATCTGTCGGCGAATGAAATCTGAGAGGAAACCGCAAGGCCCTGAGTGACCGTAATTTAATTGATTTTATCATAAATCATCAATTTCATGAAGAACCAAAGTTTTCATTGAAGTAAATTGATATTAATGGAGGCGTGTTTTTTTTAAATTTACCAATATATATTTATATATGTTGTTAGTGCTCCTTCCTTTCTTCTTTCCTTCTTTTCTTCAAGTCCTAAAGTCCTTCTAGATGTAATTCCTTCACACCTCCTAAGGCAGACTCATTACAGTCTTTTAGGACTTTGTTTCTGGGTGCTTTCTAAAGGGATCACATCTAGAACTAGGGTAGCCTGGGTAATTTTTAATCTCTGAAAAGCCCCCTTAGTTTTTTTGATGCGCCACCAGAAGAAAAGTGAGTTTCTTTAGAGATATCTCCTGAAGTAAGGTTTTCCCTGGACATCGGGTGTGTGGGTGCGGGTGTGCTCCGGGGTGTGTGTGCCCCTCTGTGGGTGTGTGCGCGGCTCGGTGTGTGTGCGCGTGCCTTGTGTGTAGCTACATGCCGCAGCCCAACGTTGCAGCGGTGAGAGGGACAGATTTAGAAATCCTGGTTCTCATTTCACCCCAGTGCGAGCCTTACTTAAAGCAGGTCTAAAAATAGACATATGATCTACAGCTCCCACTTCCATCTACCTTATCCGCTACAATGAGGGCATTGAGGCTCGGTTAAACATTGCCACTCCGAGCTCTTTCTCCTGTCATTAAAAATTAACTAAGAGCGGGCTATGGATCTCAGCCGTTTGATATGCTGATGAGTGTGGGAGATCAAATACCTTTACAGTAGGGCCCCGGTTTAGCCAGGGCAGCGATCCGTGCAGACGGGGACACGGGACTGGATGCTGCTCAGGCAGAAGGGCCAAACGCAAAGATGTTCCCGTTGCTTCTCGACAGCCCCTGAAGTCCACGGCTGAGATCAGCCAGCCCTGGGGGGCCCAGCTCCCCTCTCCGCCCACCCTCACTCTGCACCCAGTTTAGTGCAGGTAGCACGGACCCCCCAGTCCTTGCCCCCGCCCCGTCTGCTTTTTCCAAGCTACTTTCTTCCTTCTCAACCCCGAGAGGACCTTGATGGTGTCCAGGAGGGGGAGAGAAGTGTCACCCCCTCTCCCTCCCCCCACCCCCCGGAACTGGTTAGCCCCTGCGCAGGAGCAGAAGGCAGAGCCCCGTCCAAAGCAACACGCGCCCTCCTTGCAGGGGCCTAGGCGGCTGCCATAGGGCTCAGCTTGTAAATCCACTCGGTTACAGGCCGGCGCGTGGGTGTGGACGGGCCCCCCGCCCCCGCGGCCGGCTGGAGCGGGGGAGCAGGTTATCAGGGGCTGGTTCAGAGGAGCGGCTCCCAGAGGCTGCGGCGGCTCGGAGCAGGGAGCCAGCAAAGAAGTCTTCCCATCCTCACGAGCTCCCTTCTCCTCCTCTTCCACCGCCGGGGCTCGGAGCTGGGTCTCTGCGAGGCTGGGGCAGTGGCGAGCGCGTGTCCAGTTTCTTTCCCTCTTTTGCTCTGAGGATTTCAGACACACACACAACACGCACATACACACGCATGCATGCACACGCACATGCATGCAGGCGCGCGCGCACACGCACAAGACCAAAAAGAGCAAGAAAAGCTCGAGGGAAATAGCTCAGGAGATGGGAGAAGGGCAAAAGTTGAGGGCATTCAGTGCTGGGGAGGATGGGGAGGGCATGGTGGGTGGGGGGAGAAGTTCATTTAACAATTCTGGATAAAATGGGCAAAAAAAAAGGTTGACGTCCTCCAGTCACGTGAGAGCATCATTCACGCCATTCTTTTGGCATGGAGGGGGCACGGAGGCAGAGAGGGGATCTCTTGCCCTCTCCCAGCCCCTGTGACCAGACGCTTCTAAAATG